CCACACCTGCCCCGCACAGGGGCCCAGGGCCGCAGGGCCACCGCGGGCTCGCCACCTTCCAGCCAGGACCTCGAAGGTCCCACCTGCCCTTTGCTGGTCAGAACAGCCGGCCGTCCAGCTCAGACCTGTTGGCCACAAACACTCTGAGCGCCGACGGTGTGCTACTCCCAGCTGTGAACTCCCGCTGGGGGTGCCGGACACCGAAATGGCACATTCACCCCGCAAGGCAGGCATCGTCATACCCGTTTCACAGGTGGCAGGTGAGGCCCACGGAGCTGAGTGCCCACGGCCACAGAGCTAGTCAGGAGTCAGGTTGGCCACCTGAATCTCCTCAAGCTCATATGTCAACACACTTAAGATTTACTTTCCAGGCTGTGGGTCTCGGAGGGTGTTCCTTCCGGGCATCTCTCCCTGGTTAGGCCTGGCCTGTGCCCTCCATTCCTGCCTTGCAGCCAGGCCTCCAGCACAGCCCCCCTGCCTTCCAGGGGCACCCCCTCACCCCGCGCTTGCTCTTCTGCCCAGCCCGGTTTCCTCTGCCCAGCAGGGCGGCCTGATCTGCTATGAACCCTAAACAGAGGGAGTAGCTCCAGGACGTGAGCTGTTTCACTTTCAATTTGCACCCCTCCATTTCCCCGCACACCAAGCATTTCCCCACACCCCCCACACACACCCTCCCTCCATCCCCTGGGAGGGTAGAGCCCCACCCTGGGCCAGGCAGAGCCGCCCTCCTCCTTGGGGGGCCCATGTACCCTCTGGCCTCCCTTCTCTCAGGCCTGGGCTATTTTTGTAGGGCTCTCCCCTCTCCTTTCTCAGGGCAGGGCAGGGCCGGGAGAAGGCAGACCCTCCCTCCTCCATCCCCAGGTGCCTCTCAAAATAGGCCTTGGCCTAGCACCCCCACTTCCAGCTCCTCCTGGAAGAAGATGCCCTTGCCTCTCCCCGGGTCCCCCAACCCGGCAGCCCAGGACGGCAGGGCCAGAGGATGCTGCCGGCACCTGCACCTACCGCTCCCGCTCCCTCCGCCCAAGAGCTCCCTGCTGGAGCGGGTGGAGCCGCGGCACAGCCGCAGGACCAGAGGCCTCTGCCCACCAGGCCTACCCCTGCCCGTCCAAGAGGCATGACTTCCTGGTAAGGCGAGTCCCGGCACCCCATCTACCCGGTTCGCTGAGCCCAGGATGTCCCCCAGGGGAAGTGCCCGGCGGGGCTGCAGACGCAGCCGAGGGCTCCTGGGCAGCAGGAAGCGCCGTTAGAGTTCCCCCAGCCTTGACCTTGGCTCTGACCTCCACTCCGGCCGCCCAGACTGCTAAAAGGCTCGGTCCTTCGCCCCCGAGTCTCAGGCGCCCAGGGCCAGGGCAAGGGGGGCAGCCAGAGGCAGCCCTGGCCGGATCAGGCCCCCCGCGGGGGGTGTCGTAGCTGCCCCGGCAAAGCCTCCCCTCCCCACCCCGCTCCCAGCGCTCTCCCTGCCCCACCCTGAGCCTGGTGCTGCCTCGATCGATCGGAGAGGATGGGCCGGACCCTGCCGGCTTACCTACCCGG